CTTTCCCTCCTCTGCTTCTCTCTGTCAAGTTCTCTCACCTGAGAAATTAGAAGAGTAGGTTATATGGAAAAAAGATAGAAGCATAGGAATCATGAAGAAATCCCATTATAGGACAATTTCGAGATATGATACTCTAAAATCCCGAGTAATAAGTAGACAAGGTCAAATGGTAAACTACAGTACCAGGGCTCACACATGTTTGTGTTTCATTTCTAAAGTACTTTAACATACATTGTCCCATGTGATGCTTGAAACCACCATGAGAAGGTCATAGGTCAGTGGTTACCTCAAAGAGGAATCCAAAATTAGGAGGCAGAAGTTCAGACTCCAACCAACCAGTATTCTGTGACTTTACCTAAGGCCCCCTATTGGGCAGCACCCATTACCCAGGTCATCACTGTTCCATGCCCAAGAATGGCCAGAGCAGGGACTCTGAAAAATGTCTCAGATATGACTGGCTTCCTTTGAGCTTCTATCCATGGGGTCTGTTTTCAGAGAGTGGTTTCATCTAGCAACTGACATCCTCAGAGATGGTAGACAGGGATGTCATGGAAGGGATGGGAAGGGTCACCTGGAGGAGTTCAGGTTAATAGGCAGAACCTTACCATGAGATGTCCCACCCTTCCTTCTCCTCTTGGCTCTGCCTTGACACTGAGAACAAAAGGAAAAAAAAAAATGAGTTGATGGAACTTACTCCACTTTCTCAGTCATTATCTAAGAATAATAAAATGACTCTCCATTTTAATTAATCGACATATTTCTTTTACTAATTTTTATAATAATTGTCTCACTTTTTTTTTTTGTAGAGGTTTTTGCCTTAGGGCACATGCACTCTCTGGGGGTGGAGACAGAGAGAGAGAGACAGTGAGAGGGAAAGTGAGAAATCACTCCCCAGGGGGGATGGCCACGCCATAATCCCTTCTCCATTTTCCTCCTGGGATCTTGGGCATATATGCACATGCACCAGCATGAGTTTCAAGCCTCTGGATTCAGAATTCTAATTGCAGTTGACCATGTGGGAGTCCAGCAACATAACTGTTATGCCATCTGCTGGCCCTAATTGCCTCACTTTAAAAAAGTTTTTTTTCTACTATATAAGAGATTGTATACACATAAGAGAGAGGGAAATAAATCAGTTCCCAACAGGACCTGGCAATGCTGCTATCCTTTTTCTTTCAATTCTCCATCACATATAGACCTTGATGTGTACCCAGCATGTAAGCTGCTGTGCCAGAACTCAAACTCTGGTCAGCTGTGTGAAATTGGCTTCCTCTACACAGTACTAAACCACCATGTTACAAATATGTACCCCTTTAAATAATTAAAGCTAATAAAATATTTTCAATTTTTCCTCCTTAGAAATGGAAGATTTTTTCTTTGCAATCTGCAGTTGATATTTGTAGTCCTCTGCCCAAGGAAGAATAGAATCTGAGCTCAGTAGTTACTTCTGTGCTCTGTCAGAGGACCCTGTATCACAGGAACAGAGCTCTGGTTCCAGCCTCTGTTCAGAGACTCTCAGAGGCTCAGCATTGCTCTCTTGATCAGCCTAACACAAAGAAAGGCTTGACTGATTAACACCTGACATGGGCATGTGATTCATGATCAAATATCAGGAGAAACTGGCCTCCTTCAGAGAACCCAAACTCTCCACCTAAGCCAACCCAGGACCACAGAATCAGTGTTAGTGATTTTATGTTGGAACTGTTCACCATACCCAGTCTATAAACTTCATTTGGAAACCTTAGTTCTCCCCAAACCCCTACTCCTGCCCAGCCTTTTTCCTGGAAGAGTGATGATCTCTCTTCTCCTCATTGCCCATCTCATGCATACCTTTGGGCTAATCAAACTCATTTAGAAATGTGGGACTAGACATGGGAATAACAGTAGCAAGGAATCTCTTTTGAGGGTTCACCAATGGTTTCTTACCTTATGGATGTATTTATTTTCTCTGAGGCTTTGTACAAATGATGCCAACTCCAGGTAACATAGGTACAGAAGAAGCAACCCCAATCCACCCAGCAAAGTGACATTGCGATCAATAACCAAGAAAGTTGAACTAAAGCTCAGGTATGGTTCAGTATAACTCTTTATATAAGAGAGAATAATCTCCATTGTCTGAATCCCATGTCTGCCAGTGATAACTGAGCTGTGAAACTGTAATGGCTTGACTGTAGTCTCAGCCCTGCATCACAGAGTATGGGAGAGTCACAAAGGGTTTCCAGTGCTGGGGGAGGGGACCTCAGGAGTAGGGTATGCCCCCAGCACCTCCCCCACCCTCCATCTCAGCAGACCTCTCCCGATCCCCTGCCATCCCATTCCCTAGCTCCTACTCTTTTCATATCATATGTTTAACTTAGTGAAATTTTCTGTCAGTTTGATTCGTATACTGTATACCAGATATTACCTGAATTCCCCTTTACTGCTTAGAGTCCTCTACTTGAACCCAGCCAATTCTACTGTCTTAAAAGTCTGAAATATTGCTTGGAACTTGTGCTCATACACAGATATTTACACATTCAGTATTACTAATGTCCTCAAATCCATCTTATCTACACAATGCTTTTTCTTTATATTAACCCAGATTAAAGTTTTTTAGTACTTATTCAGTTTTGTGAATGTTAGATAGTAAGCTTTTTGTTTCAGTCTTTATATCTTAAATTAGAGGAACTGACTGAAATAATTAAAACTAATAATTATTCAATAGTTACAAAACAAAAATGAATATAAAATAAATGTATTTAATTAAAATGCTAAACAATCTTAGGGGTAAGTTTATTGCACTTATTTTTTTTTAAGTTAGTAAAACTTAAACTATGCCAAGTCTTTTGGGAGTGCTGTATACACACATACTACACATACACAAACATACATAGCCTTTAACATATGAATTAAATATTTTCAGATCAAGAATTCTTACTTTTATTGCAATCTTCCATTCATATTTTGACCGCAATTCTAACTCAATCTAAAAAACAGTATCAGCCCTACATCAGTTTTGTAACAGGTATGTGACTCCCCCAAACCAGGACTAGATTACAGTGTGTTAAATGATTGGTTCTCTCAGTCCTTGGTGGCTGCATGTGGTCCAAGAGTGTCATTGGCCTTTGGGTAGAACTGAGTCTTGAGCAGCCTCTTCCAAGTTCTTTTGTGAACCATTTCAATGTGATCTTTTGTCTTTTTCTTTTAAAGTTTTTTTTCTATAGGACATGTGCATTTGACAGAGAGACAGAGAGAGAGACAATGAGAGGGGAAGCGAGAAACCCCCCCCCCCAGGGGGGATGGCCATGCCATAATCCCTTCTCCTCCATTCTCCTCTTGGGATTTTGGGTACATGCACACATATGCCCAGCATGATTTTTAGGCCACCAAGTCTGAGACTTGAACCTTGGTCAGCCATGTGAGAGTCCAGTGCCTTAACCATCACACCACCTGCTGGCTGCATTATGAATTTTTTCTAAGAGCACCTTGCCATATCTAGAGCACCTAGAGATCTTCAGAATTTAAAGAAACAAGAGACTAAAGGTGAAACACATTTCTTTGATACCACCAGCATTAAACTTCATTGATATTGACTGGCAGAGCTTCATAGCATTTATCCTTTCTATTATGCTCTAGTTTGAATATGTTACCCAAAAATTCATATGTTGAACCATTTTAGGGGAATTAATAGGTTGAAAACTTGATTCAATTATGATATCAGAAGATGGGGCTTTGGGGAAAAATTTAGAGATTGGGTGGTTATGGCAGGGACCCATGCTTGAGTCCTAGTGGATTTGTAAATAGAGAGAATTAGAGGGAAACCATTGTGGAACATAGACTATGCTCATTAAATGCACCCAGGATCATCTTTGCTTTTATCAGCTATATTGTGTTGTAGCTGGCTTGATGCCAGCCTCATGTCTTTGGACTTTGCAGCCACGAGAATCATGAGTCAAATAAACCTCAAGTTTTTGCATTCTTTATTTTTTATAAACCACTCAGTCTTGGATATTTCTGTTATCAATGTAATTGTAGACTAAGACACTACTAACATCAACTATAAATCATATTTTTTCTCTAATTTATAAAGCATTTTACTTCCAATGATCTAACCAAAACGTCTTTATTGAGACATAAGTCACTGTCTGTATACATTTGGGAGTTCTAGAAATTTCATAGAAATGGAATCATGCAATCTGTGACCTTTTGTGTTTGGTTTCTTTCACTTAACATAATGTTTTAAGGTTCATCCATGTAGCAGCATGTACTATTTAATTTGTTTTTATGGCTGTATGATATTCCATTGTATGAATATTCTATAAGTGTTTATCTATGGATTAGTTGGTAAGAATTTGGGTTATTTCTGCCTTTTTGCTATTAGGACTACTATTGCTATGAACATTCATATACATGATTTCATATGGACATGTGTTTTTATTTTTTATTTATTCATTTTTCCAGGAACTTGAAGTCATGCTTTGTCTAAGCTTGTTGCTGTCTGAGACTTTTGTAGCATGCCTGCATTAGAATCCCTATGAAATGATAGCTTTGGTGTGTAAATGTACTTCTTATTAAGTGTCTAGATGTACCAATTCTCTCTCTTGTCATTACTCTCAAAATTAGCCCTTGACATAGTTAGAATCATGACAATGTGTAATGCTTTACATTTAACTGTAGTGAATACTTCATGTTCTCAAGTCTCTATTCTTAATAAGTCAGAAAGAATGTGAGATGGAGAATCAGAATCCATCTAGAGGAAACATAAGCAAACCTATAACATCTATGAAGGTACATGTCTGGTCACACTCAAGCATAGGATGTATGTCTAAGGACAAGCAAAATAATTAGACTGAAAAAGTTGAAAGGGGCCCAATTGTGAAAGACTTTGAGTCACAGTTTAAGAAGCTTGAATTTGGTAAAGAGGGGAGTGGAAACCAAAGTCTTTTGTTTTGTTTTGTTTTTAGTGTGTTTTGTTTTGTTTTGTTTTGTTTTTCCAGTTTGCCATAGGGTGTATGTATTAGCTGGGGAGAGAGGAAGTGAGGAGTGAGAGTTTTCCCAGTGGGGGACAGTAATGCTGCAATTTCTTTTTTTCTGTCTCACTTCTTTTGCATGTACATTTGCCTGGTGTGTTTTTCAAGTTGTCAGGTCTGGGACCTGAACCACATAGTCAGCTATGTGGGATCCAGTCATCATAATTACACTGGCTAGCTTGCTGAAGTTTCATAACCAGAAGAATGATACGCTCAGTCTGTGTTTTGGAAAGATGACTGACACAGAGGTGCTGGTTAGAGTTCTTGGAAACATCTCCAAAGTAATCACTCTATCATGGACACTTTCTCTTGCAGATGATAGAAACCCAGATGAATTCTGGCTTAAGCAAAATTTTTAATTTATGGGCTTTCATTTCCCCACAATA